GGAGAGAAGCCCTTCTCCGCCGGCCAAACCTCGCGAGACCTCCCCGACGCTTCTCTCTCCTCCTTCAGGCCCCGACGGAAGCCTCGCGAGAGCACGCCGCGAGGCCGTTTAACAAAACTTTATTGAGCCGCGTTGTAACGCGGCACATGGGGGGAGGGGGACGAACCAACAGACCAACCCCCGCGCTTAAGACAGCGTTGCCTTTCCAACAAAACTTTATTGGGAGGAAAGTGAGCGGACAAAGCACCACAGGTGCCCCCCCTTCAACAAAACTTTACTGACACGTTCCTGAAGACAAATACCCCCCCCTCCCCCCACATACACAAAGTACATGCTCAGGGAGATGAACATAACACAGGTGGTTGTGTTCATTTATGTTCATGTGTGCACATATATACATATACACGTATATGTAGGTACATATATACATGTAGACATGTGTATGCATACACCTATTCACATAACTCCCCAAGAAAGCCAAAGGGCCCTGCAAATAGTAGCCATAAAAGGCTGCATTAAACACACGCTAAGTACAAAATCTAGCTGTCTACTTATACAGGGGGATTGGGATCACTGCTCCCTGGTCCCAGCTTAACTTCTTGCCCCTTTCTGGAGTTGGAAATAAAATCCAAGAGTTCTGGCTTCCAGTCCCCACCTTTATACTTTAAATCCTATTCCCTGCTCAGAGCTGGAACCAGAAACCAAGACTCCTCATTTTAGTAGCTCTTCCTTGCTGCATCCACTTGCCTCCAAGAACCGAAAAGAGGACACCAGCGCCCTGACCCCCAGAGTTCTATCACCCCTAGCTTTCCTCACAGCTGGAAACAGAATCATATGATCCAGAACCCTCATTCTATAGCCCTAACCCTCCAGAGAAAAATCAAGTATTTATTTTTGTTGTTGTTACTACTACTTAGACAATCATATCCAGCAGTTTTTGGAAACAGGGACTGCAGTTCCTCGGTGCTCTTTGAAAAATGGGTCCTGAGGCTAGCCAAAAAGTGAAGCAGATCACATCAGTGAAGACTTCTGGAAATGTCCCTTAGCCATTCCTCAGGTAAATTATCATTGGCTCCTTGTGACATGTTACCCAACAATAGAACAGAAAGTAAAAGGATCTGGTGTATAGTGGGTGGTATAATATAATGTCATTATATGCCAGCCTTAAACACTCCAAAGCAAATATGAAAAGGAAAAGAGCAACAAAAATCGCTTTTTCCTCCCTCTGAGAATAAATACCCTCCCCCCAAGCTTTTTCTACATGGAAAAACTGTGAATATTCCTATTTTAAAACTTCCATGCATGATTTTTGAAGTATTGAGGCTTTCAATATAACAACAGCATGATACAGGAATGACTCAAACAGCATATCCATTTAGGTTTGAGACTGTCACTATAGAATGTAGATTTATTTTTATGAGGGTCACATCACTTGAAGGCAAGTTCCAGAAAGCTCTAAAATTGCAGGTTTTAATTGGTGTCTGTTCTATTTGCACATGTGTATTTACAGCTTTCATTTTGTCACATCAACATTTTGAGCCCTCTCGCTATAATAATGGTGGGTCTGTGTTCCATTACAAACCCTGTTGACTATATTCACTAGGCCATACAAATTCTCTTTAGGCTGACACTCAGCATATGAAAGCTCATCAGTTTTGTTTTTAAATTAAAGGGTGACAAAAGCACAACTATTTTGTGGATTTACAGATGCTCCTCCCTTCTCTTCCTGAGGCTGCAGTTAGCTCAGTAGCGATAGTCCTTCCACATCTCCATGATTTTTAAGATGAAAGATAGGCCATCAAATTACACTCTCAAATTCCCACATAATTCCCAATATCTTTGGATTTATTCTGCTATTGTAGAAAGACATCCAAGCTTGCTTTCAAGACTTGAAGTTCAGATGAATCCACCACTTTCCTCAGCAAATACTGGATCCTATTATTCTTTGGTCTCCTTGTCTGTCTAATTATCTGGTTAATGGAACACTGTTCTCGACTGGAACTAGAACTGGGCACCAGCCTGCAAATGAAGAGCTTGTTTTAGTTAAAGTAACAGACTCTAATAACCTCTGGAAAGGAGGAAGAGGTTAATCTCCAGTTTCTATTAATTTCAAAGTAACTATTGTATAAAGCAGTAGTTATTGTAAATCCTAGGTAGCAATTTCTTTTTAACAAAGTAGCACGACCAATTTTATCATATAGTCTCAGTGGAATTTAAAACAATTAATTTGTATTCACTACCTCATAAAGATGTAGATACCTTGTATACTTGGCCACTGAAGGAGATGAAATGTCTTACTCAGGAAACAGGAAGAACTCCTACCCCACTCAAACAGGCCACCTCATCTGGTGGTCAAAGAACAGAACATCTTCAGCTGTGGTGTGTTAAGAGGAAGCCATAAGGTGGGCTGGCCCTTTTCAAAGAAAGGCTGGGTTTGTCTCTGACATTAGTATTTTGTCATTCTACAAAGGTGAACCTGATGGTTTTTTCAGGTTTTGTGGAAGGGAACTGACAATATCAATTTTTCTGTCCATAGTGATGAGCTAGAAATGTAAATTTGGATCTTGATAGTGGGAAAACTGAAATTATGTGCTAAAAGAAAGCAGAAAGAAGAGCTCTAAGTGGAATGCTGCTAATCTTGGTTCCCCCCCTTTCTCTCTCTTTCTTCCTCCCCTCCTCCCCACCCCACTTTGCAGTGCTTCTATCTTTGGGTGTTGTGCAATTTACTGTTTGTAAAATACTTTTTTCTCTGGTGAAAAAGAAATGCAAAGTGTGTTAATAGTATTGTACTCTGTACTGAACTTGAATGAATAAAGTGGAGGTATGGGAGAAGGGGAAAAGGTCCTTCTAAAGAGATGGGAGGTAAAAGTATTTAATGCATTTAGAAAGCTGTTATAGTTTGGCCTATTACACTTGATTTTAAGATTAAAGTAATATCTTTAACACTTTGTTTGATGGTACCTAGACCAGGTTAAGGGCTCATTGGATGTATGTTTAGACTTAAAGCATAGTGTTTATGGTACTGTTTTATCAACCACTGTCAGCTTCCAGTTATGTGCTGGGTATGTTCCTTTTGTATTACATCAGTGGTGTTCAACCTCTGGTCCAAAGGTCACACCTGGCCCACAGCCATGTCACCTGGCCTGTGGGACTCCCCACAGGCACAGAAATTTGATGATAAGGAAGTGATAGCAAAGCTAAGTGTTCCCAGAGCTGTAGTGTTTAACACTACTGCCAGTGTGGAGTCTCACAGGCCAGATGATGTGGCCCTGTGCAGGAGGAGGCTGGGACTGTAGCAACATTGGCATGTATGCTAAAGCAGCATTTATCTGATCTCAAACTTAAAAGGAATGCTCAGAAGCAGTACAGGGATGTAGGTTGTAGCCGTGTTGGTCTAAGGACATAGGCAGACAAGGTTCCTTGGGTGAATCTGATATCTTTTATTAGACCAACCCAAATAGTTGGAAAATAATTATTAGGCAAGCTTTCGGGTTCAAAAACCCTTCATCAGGCTAAGGAAGTTTCAGCAGTTGGTGTGTGCTCTTCCTGGATGGAATGAAAAGTAAAAAAGCCAGGGGCTGGGCTGGTATGCATACAAGATAGGTAGTCAGTGAAAATGCAGATTGAGGAGTCAATGGGTGAGAAGAAGCAGTACAGTAAGTCTACCGCCTGCCATCTCAGCACAGTGAGATAAGTGAAAAGTCTGCTAGCCACCTTCCTGGAACAGCTGACATTTACAAGTAGTCCAAAAAAAAAAAAAAAGTAACACAGTGGGAACATCGCTCTACAAAGCAAGGATTTCTCATGGAGATACCTTTTATTGGACCAGCTGTACAGGCGGAGTGGAGTCAGATGCACTCTCTGAAGAAGAAGAAAGTACTGCCTAACTCCATCCTATCCACCCAACTGGTCCAATTAAAGGTATCGCCCTAAGAAATCTGTGCCTCCCGCCTGGCTTCTGGCCCATCGCGGCTCCACCATCGCTCCTGCCCGACTCGCTATTTGAAATACTTAGTTCTCCTCCCCGTGTAATTACTGTTACATCTTCGTAGCTCTTTCAAACTGCAAGGAAGTCTCAGGGACAGCTGCTATCAAATAGAGACTTCCGCCCCGCAGCCGAGCGCACGAGCCCGAACGCCTAGAGTGGGGAAGCGAAGTGGTACAGAAGCCGAGCTGGTGCTCCAGATCCCGCGAGATGTCGGCGCAAGCATGCTCCGCTCGCGGCTCTCTCGCGAGATTTCCAGGCTCTCGCGAGAATGCGGAAGTGTCGCGCAGTTTGGAGATTAGCTATGGCCGTTGGGATGGCGGCGGCGGGAGCGGCCGCGGACTGAGGCCCCTCCCGCGCGGGGGG